TCTCGAATATAGGTAATGATTGGGTCAATCCAACTCGGTTCATACGGCATGACGTTGACTTGCCAAGGGTCCGAGTCCATCGGTTCTTCGAAAATGGACGGCTGGGTCACTATTCCCACTGGAATCACCCTCGCCAATGTTTCACCGCAACTCGAAGCACTGCATGCTAAACGGTCTGCATCTGCATTCTGTTCCCTCGGCAACTGTATGAATTCAATCTTTGCAAAGTCCTTGGCTCTACGCAGAACGGTAGAACGATATGCCCCCATCATGTCATCCTTGGCTGCGTACTCACCATTTACCTGCCGAATAATCAACTGCGAGTCACTATACACTGTCAAACTTTTGATCTGTAGCTCTCTGGCCAACTTTAATCCATTTAGCAACGCCTCGTATTCCGCTTCATTATTGGTGGCTCGGAACTCAAGTCTGAGTGCTTGGCTCAAGGAAGTACCCTCTGGGGTTTGCAGTTTGATCCCAATCCCAGCCCCCATCTGGTTAGAGGAGCCATCCACAAAAAGTTTCCAAGAGCCGCTTCTAAGGTCCTCTTCCGTATCTTCGGCATCACATTCTAGTAGGAAATCGGCCACCGCTTGCCCTTTAATAGCTGTTCTCGGCTCGTACGTTATGTCAAATGAACTCAACTCTATGGCCCACTTTGTCATTCTGCCCGAGAGCTCTGGCTTGTGCATGAGCATTCTGATTGGGAAAGTTGTTAGAACAGCTATGGGATGGGATTCAAAATAATGCCTTAACTTTCTTTTTGCATGTACAAGTGCAAGTACCACCCGTTCGGCCTTTGAGTATCTTTTTTCTGCCTCCATCAGTGTTTTGCTTACATAAAATACCGGGTATTGCACCCCTTCCTTGCAACGAATCAGAACGGCACTCGTCGCGACACCAGATACTCCAAGATATAGAAATAACTTTTCTTCCGGTTCTGGGGCTGACAGGACTGGAGGATTCTGCACATATTGCTTTAAATGAGTCAATGCCTGTCGTTGCTCATCCCCCCAGACCTGCCTTCCATGGCTCCGAATCGTGTCAAAGAATGGTTTGCAGTGGTCTGACAACTTTGAAACAAATCGACTTAACGCAGCTATTCGTCCTGTTAGGGCTTGCACCTCTCTGATCGTCTTTGGCTCGGCATTCTTAATCAAAGCCTCTGCTTGAGCGGGGCTAACTTCGATGCCCCTGCGGTTGACCACGTGTCCCAGAAACTGCCCGGAACTCACACCGAACGAGCACTTGGTCGGATTGAGCCTCATTCCATATCGCCTTAGTACATCGAATACATCTTGCAGATGCTTCAGATGATCATCCTTTTTCCTACTCTTTACCACCATATCATCAATATAGGCTTCGACAATCTTACCCATTTGATTCTTAAAAACTTTGCTAACAAGTCGTTGATAAGTTGCTCCCGCATTCTTTAGCCCGAAAGGCATAACTTTGTAGCAGTATGTACCTCGCTCGGTGACAAAAGAAGTTTTTTCTTCATCTGCGGGGTCCATAGGAATCTGATTATAACCTGAATATGCGTCCAGAAAGGTCAAACGCTCATACCCAGTGGTGGCATCCACCATTTGATCAATCTTAGGCAGCGGGAAGCTGTCCTTCGGGCAGGCTTTGTTCAAATTGGTGAAATCAATGCATACTCGCCATTTCCCATTTTTCTTCTGCACTACAACGACGTTGGACAACCACTCAGGGTAGTGCACCTCTCTGATAAATCCCGCATCAAGCAGCCTATCGACTTCTTCCGCTATGATCTGATTACGTTCTGGAGCAAATCTTCGCTGCTTCTGTTTCACTGGTTTGAAACTGGGATTGACATTCAGGGAATGACAGGATACGGAAGGACTAATTCCAGGCATGTCTAGGTGACTCCATGCGAATACGTCGACATTGTGGGACAAAAAATCCACTAGCTCTTGCCGCTCTTCTCTGGTCAGTCTTATACCTACTCTGGCAGTTCGTTCTGGCCTGGACTGATCGATCTGCACATCCAGAAGGGGCTCCTCGGTCAAGTCGACTGACTCCTCCACCCTATTCTGTTCGGGCGGAGGTTTCTGTAATTGCTATCTGGGGCTTGTCGAACGGACGGGCGCCTTTCCTTTCCCAGCATGCTTTAGTGTGACGGAATAACACTCTTTGGCTGCGACCTGATCCCCCCGAATGTCTATTACTCTATCCCCATCGGGCCCGAGGCACCTCATGACCTGATGCAGAGTTGAGGGTACACCCCGGACTCTGTGAATCCATCCTCTTCCCATCAGGAGATTATACGAGGGGTGAATTTCCACAACCACAAAAGTTTCCATAAGCGCTCGTTCTGCAGCTTGAACTTCTACTTCCACCATCCCGACGGGTTCCACCCTCTTCCCATCGAACCCTAATAAGGGATTTCCAGTGGGCTTGAGCCTCTCTGGTTTAATGTCGAGCCTGTCAAATGTGTCCCTCGGCATAACATTCGCACTGCTCCCAGGATCGATCAGAACTCTGCGCACCAAGCAATCTGCCACTGTCAAACTGACTACCAACGGGTCGTCATGAGGCAGTTGAACACGCTGCAGGTCTGTCCAGTCGAACTTTATCTGCATTGACGGGCTCTGCTGGTGTAGAGTGGACACATTGCCGACCCTTTTCTTCATCTGCGCCTGCCGCAGGCGCACCCGTAGCAGCTCATCTGACTCTTCACTAGGCTCGGGTCGACCATGGATAACATTGATTATACGAACTGGTTGCGAATTGTGGGAGCTTTGTTTATGACTCCTTTTTATTTGTTCCACTGGTCGATTCTGCTCCATCGCCGAGCCTTGAACATAACTCGCAAACTCCCCTTTAGCTATCAACATCTCCACTTGCCTCCTCAGGTTCCTGCATTCGTTAGTCTGATGTCCGAAATCAGAATGAAAAACACAATGTTTAGTTTGATCCCTCTGCTCGAGGGGTTGTCTAATTGGCAGTGGTGGATGAAACTTGTCCTTGTTCTCCTGATACAGCCTTGCCAGAGTGACCTTCAGCGGAGTAATCAACTCTTCCTCCCTGGACCTTTTTTCGGCCTTCCAAGTGGTCTGACGTTGTGGCTGAGCCTGCTTCTGCCTGATCTTTGCCTTGGACTTCTCCTCGGTCGACACAAGCGACGTTGTCCGAGCATTAGCTGCCTCCTCTTCTTCGAGGCGCACAAAGCCATCGGCTCTCTCATTGAGTTCATCCATGGTAGCCGGCGTGTTCACTACCAGACTGGTGTGAAAGGGAGTTCCGCGTGTCATGGCTAACTTGAAGGCTTGAACTGCCGTAGAAGGGTGGCATTCGATCACCATACTCTTAGTGAGATTAAACCTAGTAAGAAAGGCCTGGAGACGTTCATCCTTGTGCTGCCGCATCGTGAAGAGGCTCGAGATGTCCTTCGGCGGGCGTTTGTTCCCATAGTACTGACTTATGAACCGATCGCACAGGTCTCTGAAACTGCCAATGGAGCTCCTAGGCAAGTTTTTGAACCAGCTGAGCGCCGGTCCGGCCAGGCTTGTAGGGAAACATTTGCACATTAAAGAGTCGTTTTCCGTATTCAGGGCCATTTTCAACTGGATATGATACACATGATCGATCGGATCGGTCGTTCCGTCAAACAGAATAAAGACTGGCATAGCAAACTTCCTTGGATGCGGCGCATTCAAGATCTCGTCGGTGAATGGTGAATCCACCGTCCGAGCCGCGGATCGGAGAGCTTCATTCTCTCTCTGGAGTCCAGCGGTAGCTCTGTGAGTTACGGTTCTGCCCTCCGAACCGTGATGAGTGACAGTAACCATAGAGGGCCGGTAAGACGGATCGAACGACCGTTCCTCTATGAACTCTCTTTGCCAAGGCGACGCTACTCGACGGCGATCAACCTCCATCACTTCCTCTCGGTCAAACCTTTCCCGCTGCGGATCAACGTGAGTCGATCCTTCGTGATCTTCAACTCGACGAACATTTGGCGGCAAATTTTCCATCATCCTTTCGTCACGGTGGTGAGCTGACTGATTGTTCTCGTCCTGATCGCCTTGATGCGCGATATTAGATGGAACACCTCCTTCTCCGACCGGAAGTGGATGCGAAACCGCAGGTATTTGCCGATGCTGCAGTCCAGCTTTCAATTCTGCATTTTCTTTTCTGAGAGCTTCAATCAAGTTCATCAACTCTTCAAGCTTTGTTTGCTGGACAGCCTCCATCGGATTGGAGCTTTCACCTATCATTATTCCCGAACGGAGTAAAGGCATTAATCTCAAGTTCGCGAGTAGATCTGAGCTTCGTGAGTAGGAATTTTTAGATCTGGCTTCTAATTCTCCGAATTATGCTCACTGTTTACAAGATCTGAATTGTCTAAACTCTAAATCCGTCAGATCCTGCCACAATCGAGCAACTCGTGGTTGCGTAGATCTGAAGTCACTCCTGCCAAAGCTTCAAGAATCGTAATTCCTCCAGAGTAGGTCACAATCGCTCAGATCTGGATTCAAATCCGCAAGATCGAGTCTCGATCAACCGAATTGGTTTGAATCCATTCGATACTCCTCATTGATCAACCAAACTTTCATGCGTTTCCCACAGACGGCGCCAATTGAAGATGCAAGAAACTCCTTCTATTCTTTCTCTCTCTAGAATTCTTACACCTCAACCCGGAAAGATCCCTCTCCTCTTCATTCCAACTCCTATTTATAGACACTTACAAGATATTTACAAGATATTTACTAATTGCTGGACCTGGGCCTATTCCTCTGTAAGCCCTGGTCACCCTTGATGGGCTTACTCCCGCTCGGCCCATATGGCAGTGTCTTTCTATGGGCTGACCCAGCTGTTCGGACTGAAGGTTGTGTTTTGCGAGTCGGACCTGGCCCATGTCATCCGGGGCCTCCTCAACCAGACTAATATGAAGACCCAAAATCTCCAATGAAAACAAAAAAAAATTAAAAATCAATCGACACAATTTGATTTCTACATTAGTCCATAATAAACACTAGTAGGAGGAGGAAGCACAATCAGGATAAATTTTAAAAACTAAAATACATAATGAGCCTGTCTCACATGCATACCAAAACAACGCTTTGGTCAAGGCGACCCGAATATGGGTAAAATCGCTCGGGGAGCTGAGCTCTCTACCAACTAGACCACTGAAGTCACGAGGCTATTATATTAATTTAGTGAATCCATTGATCATACAAGAACACTCTCACTTGGTCTTCACATCAATCTTCTTCACATCTCTACTGTGAATCCACCACAGAAGATTCGAAAGCGTGTTTCCGTCATCATATCCAGTCAAGTTCTTAATGTTATGCAGAGCACCACCATTGTCATAAATCCCTTGCAAGGCATACAAAAACCCCTTCCACCCTTCTTCAACCCCTCCTTCCCTTTTCAAAGCTGGCAGTGTCCATTTCACAAGCTCTTTGGCATACTCAGCATCAGAGAACAAGACCTCACTGATTGGCAGAATTGGCAACAACTGAATTCCCAGCCTACACTCTCTCCATTCTGGTGGAGCAAACCAAAGTGCACTGTCCCTCTTATTAGCCCACAAAATGCCCACCACCCTGTTCTCCTTGGTGAATTTTTTCGCATACATTTCGCTGCCCTCTTTCACATGCCACCATGTTTGAGCTGACTGAATCTCCATTGCCTCGAGTGTCGATCCAGTGGCAACAAGATTGGTGTCACCATAGGCCAACCCCAACAACGCTGCTGAATTGTACGCGTTCACTGCCTCGCTTGTGCTCTCCTGATTTCGCCCATTTGGGAACTCAGTCAGCCCTGCAGCCCAAGAATGCAACTTCCACAAATCAAAGCATCTCAAACGAGGATAATTCGAATTTGCTCTCGTGTCCAAGTTCATATAATCTGTTACAAGTGAATAAGCTTGAGGCCTGTACTTTTGCCCCCAAGCAGGATCAATCTTTGCAAGCACTGCAATTGAATAAAGAAAGTAACCCAAATGGAAATGGTGATCATTGTATATTCCAAAACCAAAATCAGCCGTAGTGTCATTGGATCCTTGCTTGGTAACAAGTCCACCCCATTTCTCATCATACAAGAAAGCATTTTCGCCGAATGTTCCATCTAACCATGGCTCAATTTTCTCCTTCAAGAAATCCAGGATTGCAGGAATCACCTTGGGATAACTCACCTCTTCAGCAATCAATGCCAACCTCGCGGCTTTCGCAACCCTTTTCCCATAAAAATAAGATGATGAGCCTAATGTTGTTGAATTGAGTGTCTGGAGACTTTTCACATCTTTGTGGAGTGCATTAATGATCTGAGGATAGGATTCTTTTTTTACCCCTTTAATGGAATGCCATGTTACCTGAATTGGGGCAGTTTTCAATACCCATGAATCTCCAACAACGCCAACAAGCTCACCATCAATGCTTTTGTACTTGAAATCCTTCAAAACAGTGATTTTACAATCATTGGCCGAAAGAAGCCGAATGTGAAGAGGATGGGCAAGCATGAGCAAGTCTCCATTACCTTCACTATCCCATTTGTACTCCAACTGAAATGGTTTAGTGAATATGGCATTTCCGGATACCGGATAGCGAGAACTGAACCGGTCAAGGATTGGTTCGTCGTCGGAATCCGGCGAGATGGCAATCCGAATGATGCCGGAAAACCCATCAGAAGTTATCACGGACTTGTTAGTACTCAATTTGATTGGTGAAGAACTATACAAAAGCCAAGTCTGCTTATTTTTAAGCTTGATGGCGTGTTTGGTTAGAGCACTATTTGAAGATAAACGAAGAATGGTATGAATGGTGGAAATGGAAAGCTCAGTCCTTTTTGCGACGGAACAGGTCAAGAAAGGGCTTCCCCTGACAAGGAAGAATCTCAGATTGCTTGAGGGAATGTCTAAGGTGACACTAAGATCACTGTATGAAGAGATTACATGGTTTGAATGGTTTTTCTTGTTATTGTTTTTTGATTCAGAGATGGTGAGATCAGCCTTAAAAATTTGGGATATGATGGAAGAGTTGGAGAACTGAGATGGGTAGGAGAGAGAAAGTGAGGAGAGAGAAGGTTTGAAGAGATAGGGGTGGATGTATTCAGGTTGGGCAGTTCTGTTGAGGGCAAAGTTTTGGAAGAATGAGTTTGTGGGCAAAGGGGTTGAGAGGAGGTGAGGGGAGAAGAAAAGGGATGGGTCAGGGAGGACAGAGGATTTGGCTTTGGGGAAGAGGAAAGGAAAGGTTGGTTTTTTGAGGGATTCATGTAGAATGATAGGCTTGGTAGCACTGCCACAAATGGCATTGAATGATAACATGAAAATGAGACAAAACAAAGACATTGAAGTAAAGGACATTGAAACTGAAATTCTTGGTGGTTGTGAAGGTTTATGGAATTTGTGAGGTTTTGGGGAATTATTGGTGGTTTTGACTCTTCTTTGAATCTCCTTCAACATGATGAAGGAATGAACTGAATTACATATAAATCTGTGAAAATAATTAGATATATATATATATATATATACACATATATGTAGTGAGAAGAGAGATTGAATCAGTTTCTTCTAACTAGATTCGATACAAGCAAGGAGAATATGGAGAGCGTTGACTTTTCTTTGTCAAATGTTGTCTGAGATCTAGAAGAGAGAGGGGGCATGCGAAAGAGACATTGTTATGACTGAGAGGGCATGCGCAATGCGAGGAGGAAGAAGAAAGGGAATGAAGTTGACCCTGGTTTAGCATCACAGGAGAGAGAGGTTATACGCATTGCAAGGGAGAGGAAAGCAATTTAGTTAGAGGATATATATATATATATATAGAAGTATTCACTTTATATTTATTTACCGTTATAATTCATAAGTGAATATTTATTTATAAGAGTAAATAAAACATTTTTGGGATGACTAATCAATAAGGGTTAAAAAAAAATTAATTTAAGAGAAGACATGTAAAATAAATAAAAAATAAAAAATCTTATCTAAATTATAGATTAAAGACAAAAATACGGTAATAATGTGATGAGTAAATAAAACATAATAATAAGTAGTTTTCGGTTGGAATGTGTCAGACTGTTTTACATGAGTAAGATATAATATCATCATGATGTTATTAAATATTATTATGTAAAATGACCGTCATTCTTTATCAACATAATTTTAGTATAATTTATCCGACTCTATGACTCTTATAGAAATATTTATCTCATCTAATTTTCTTTAATTTTCTCTAATTTTCTTTAATTTTTTCTAATTTTCAATTACCTAACTATATCGGTCTGTTAAAATACCTTTTTGTATAAAATATACACTGCCATTTTTATGATGTGTAGATTTTTTCCATTTTCAGCAATCTGTTAAGATACATTGTCATATCACCAATGTGTAAAGGGTTGTGTATTTTACATAATATTTTTACACTAACATATCAACATATTTCCTTTCTCATCCCCTTTCTCGTTCCATTAAAAAATCAACCATATATTAAGTAAATTTATAAAGGTTATGTAGGGTCCTGGCATGACACATGATTGATTATCATTTGGAGATATATTTTTACACAAAAAGTATACAACAATAGTTGGAGTTAAAATTAAATAATTCAAAATTACACATCAGATTTACATTAAAAAAATATATATACACAATGGTCGGAGATGCTCTAATTATTCAAAAAAAAAAAAAAAAAGTGATAACCCAGTCCACTTCAAAAATATATATATTTATTTATTTTAAATAAATTGATAAAAATGCATTATTCAAAAGTGAAAGGTATGACTACTTTTTAAAATAATAATAAAGTATTCGTGGTGTTAGAATATAATTATGTCAACGGAGGAAGGGATACGAATATCATTCCCTTATCCCTTATCCAAAATATAGCAAAGTTTATGCTCTTTTTTCATTCCCTTCACGTCTTTTATAATTAATGATATATTTTTTTTCTCTCTCTCTCTTTTTTATTTTTTTCATATTCCCTTATAGTTGTCAAACCGTATACAAACAAGATTATAAATTTGAACATGTGAAGCTCCAATGTTTGGCAGGTAGGAAAGTCAGATAAAGATATAGTCTTCTTCTGGAGCTTCCCATTAATTGGATTTTCCAATTACTTTACATTAGTTGACAAAGCAAGTTACTTTTGTTGGCTATTTCAAGAAAAAGACAAGTTCATTCATTTTGTCAAAGCAATTTTTATTTTAATTATTTTATATGGTAATTATAATTAAAAAAGTAAACTTTTCAATTTAATTTCTCAATATTGTGTAGCTGCACAAACCAATTTGTTTATGAAATCTTTTCTTTCAAAACAATGAATATGCCATTGAGCATTGACTAGCAATTTTTTTGGTCATTTCATTGACTTTTCAAAGTTCTCTCAAAACTTTGTTTTTTAAGTAAAAATTAAAATTAAAATTAAAATTAAAATTTTACAATGTGTAATCAAGTAAAAATAGAATAATTCTGTTTAAAAATTAAAAATTAAAATTTCAATGTGTAATCAAGTTCATAAAAAGTCTGATGGAGCAATGCCGCGTAGAACTAAAATACCCACGTGAATGATTGAAATTTATAGTGTTCACTTCTAAAAAACTGCGATTACAATAGTACTTGTTAAGTAACATTTTGGTAGAGATTATTTATAATTCAAGTATTTAAAAAACTGTGGATTGAAATCAAAAGTTAATGAGGCCACATGAGATGGCTTCTAATGCCTAACATGTTACATGATTAAAAAAAAAAAAAAAGTAATATTTTTTTAGAGCACATGATTTCAGAATAATTCTGATTCATTGTCCTCTAATTCCCTTGCCGTCCTTTTTCAAATTCTTTATTTTTAAAAGAAAAAGTAGAATAATTCTGTTCTCCTTCTAATCCTTTTTCTCTAACCCTTTGTGGATTGAAAAAGAATAATCCAACCAAATCCCTTAAGACTGTCTGTATTTGATTTTACTTTGACCAGGTAATGGCTTAGTTATTAATTAATTAGGGTTTGAGCTTTTCTTTTCTTTTTCTTATTTATTTTATAATAAGAATAATAATTTGGAGCCGTATAGCATCCGAAACATGTGTTTAGATTGGTGTATGAAGATATTAGATGAGTTGAAATAAAATGGTGGTGTTGTTAATGTTTGGTGCAGAAATGTTGGAATTTTGGTGGATGAATGTAGAGAGTTGAATAAGTGAAATGGACAGGACAGAGAAAATAAGGAGAGGGAAGATTTGATGAGACATAGGTGGGATGTATTCAGTTTGGTCACTATAGTTGAGAACAAAGTTCTGGAAGAATGAATTTACTAAAATCATATGATTGAATTCTATTACCTAGATGAAAAATAATACTATGTACCATTCAGGAAAAAAATAATAATAATAATACTATGTATTTAAACATTTTTCTAATATATATATAAAAAAATAAAATAATGGTTCCACTGCCGGGATTTGAATTTTGAATTTTGAATTCACATTCTTTTCAATCAGTTAGAATTGCCATGGTGCTGCAGTGGACCTCATTGTAAAATTAAATGAATTTAATTTTATTTAACAATAACTTATCAGCATTAAAATTTAATTTTGGGCTAGAGAATATGAAAAAAACTATAAAAAAATATTCCACTACCGGGAATTGAACCCGGATTCTTTTTGATGCAAGAATTGTCAAAGTGCTACTGTGGATATCATTGTTAGAATTGTGAAATTAACTTTATTTAAAAGATTCATAATTAAATGTCAAAAAAGTGATACGGGAACCGTTTTGTTGAGCTTAAAATATGAAAAAATATTCCACTGCAGGAATTGAACCCAAATTCTTTTAGATGCAAGAACTACCAAAACCGCTTAAAATGCGAAAAAAATAATAATAATAATAAATAAATTTATTTATTGAACCCGGATTCTTTTAGACGCAAGAATTACCAAAGTGTTACAGTGGATATCATTGTTAAAATATTGAAATTAACTTTATTTAAAATATTCAGAATGAAAAGTCATAAAAGTGATATGAGAATCGTTTTGTTGTGCTTAAAATATGAAAAAATATTCAACTGCAAGGAATTAGAATTCGACGAATTCTTTTAGACGCAAGAATTACAAAAAGGGCGTAAAATATGAAAATAATAATAATAATAATAAATAATAATAAATAATTATTTCCACTGCCGGGAATTGAACCCGGATTCTTTTAGACGCAAAAATTAGCAAAGTGCTACAATGGATATCATTTTAAAAATATTGAAACTGTTTTGTTGAGCTTAAAATATGAAAAATAAATAAATAAAAATATAAAAAATTCACAGAGGGGAGTTAAACCATGATGAAGGGTTTCAATCCAACATATGAATTACCAAGGTGCTAAAGTCCAGTGTGATGAAATTAATTCTATTTAACGTTTTTATTTATTACCATTAAAGGGGAGGTTCACACTATTGAAATTCCAAGGCTTGAAATCATATGGCTGATTTCTATTGGGCTCAGAGAATATGAAGCAAATTTTAGCCCCAATATAAATATATATTGTCAAAGCAATTTAATTTCTCGTTATTTTGCCTTTAATTTCTAATTAAAAGTTATCTTCATTTTGTCAAAGGCAATCTAATTTCTCGAATCGTTTTTTTAGCACTCGAAATGATTGAAAAGCAACCAAACGTTGTCCAACAACATTTTGTAAAAATAACAGTATTTTTTCAAATAAAAAATAAAATTCTAATATGTGATTGATTTTAGAGTCTAGCTTGGACTCTTGATGAATAAAGGAAATAAATAAATAAAGTTTATTTCCTTAAGTTTTCTTTCAATAATTATCATTTTTCATTTCCCATCAACTACTTAGACATGAACAAATATATTTTCTTATCCTCTTGCCCATAAAACAATCCGGATTTGTTTTTGTCTTTTCAATCATGCATCACATTTTTCTCTTTTTATTTATCTCTTATTATTATTATTATTATTATTATTATATATATATATTTTTTTTCTAGTTAGTAATTACACACACTTGTCTCTTCTGAAATTTGAACCCTTGACTTCCCTTTGGGAAGTAAGAAACTGATACAGTTAGGCCACTGGCCCGTTGGTCCTAGTCCAAATTATTAGAGACAAAACATGTTGAGGGAGAAATCAATGCGGTTCGATACGACACCGTTTTTCTGCACAGAAAAGAGTAGAAAATTGATGAATCTTGACGGCACCAGTGTGGTGCCAGTCGCGCGCCAGACTTCTTCGGTGCCTGTCAAGATTCATCGATCTTCTACTATCTTCTGTATAGAAAAACAGTGTCATATCGGACCGCGTAAATTTCTCTTTCAACAAAACATATTAACAATTGAAATTGGGTTTGAGTAGAGGTGTTGCAAACCCAAACTAAGGCTCTGTTTGCTTCATCGTAAAATGTTTTTTAAAAATTATTTTTCTTATTTTTCAGTACCTGGGAGACTCCAAGGTTATGAAATTATTTTTCATGTAAATCATTTTACCTCAAATGATTGAAAATGATTTATCAAAAAAAAAAATTGTAAGTCATTTTTCACGGGTTATCTTGAGTCATCTAATCATTTATATTTTTATTGAACCCAATTGGCCCTCTAACAACTAATCCTTTTCGCGTTTTCGGTCCTCTCAATCTAAAAATCTAATATTTAATCTTCTCTCTATATGTATAGATAGAGTGAGAGGAGAGATAAAGAGAGGAGAAAGAAAGAGAGACACTAATTTGGATTGGTCGATGAACAGATTTGGGTTGAGAATATGTTTTGTTAATTAATATAAA